TTGAGGATCGAATGGAAGGGGTAAATAAGAGGTTAAGGACACAAGTTAGGAGGTAGGAAAGTTTGTTTAAGTTGGCAAGTAATAAAGTCAGGAATTACGTCACCAATTTCAAATAGTCTAGGGATTATCCTTTGAAATATATATTTTAAATGAGTTATATAATACGTAGTTTCCACGAAATTAATGAAAAGTTAAAGAATATTGGATAATTGGTATTGAATACAAATCTACGTAAGGAAGTACATTGTTTTATATTCAAAAGTTAAATTTAATTATTTACAAGATAATAAATAAATAGGTTTAAGTATCAGGTAAATTCGGAGCGAAATAATTTTTTTTTTTTAAATTTTAACCCTTAAATGCATAATTTTGTACACCAACGACGCTCAGACTTTTTGGAAATGACATTTCTTTTCGCGCCTTAGTCCATGGCCGTTTTTTTTTCTTTTCACTCAGAACGATTATGGGCCAAGAAATCAAATAACCATACAGCCAAGTCCACACGTTGAAAAAATTGTATTTGACAAGGGCATCAAGTTACTGTTTCATTTTTGATACGCTATGCATTTAAGGGTTGAAGTTACTAATATGCGTAATGTTGTGAGTTAAGTAATAAGCATATTTTAAGATCATTGCAAACTTTGTAATTTTTTATTCAATTAATAAAAGAAACTTGAAGTAATTTCAAGATAGTATTTTAATTCAATCTAATAGTAGTCTTATCAGAAACACATTTTATCATTTACTTCAATGTTATGACAAGTTTGAAAACAAGTGACATTTTATTCATTTGAGTAAATAAAATGATTTCAATTAAATATTCGTAATTTTGAAGAAATATTCCACTGCCACTATTTGAAATGTCGATGTTAATGATTGAATGAAATATTTCTTGTATGAAGTAAATTTTTTTCTCAGTGCAAAAATCGAGAGATTCATTTTACTCCATGTTTCCTTTACAGTCCTGGTTTTTATAAAACTTTTCAGTAAATAATTCGACTCTTTGAAAGATTTTTGACATTTTTAAAAAATTTTACAATTTTTGAAGTTTTAAAAAATTTAATTAACACTTTTTTAAATGAATTTTTAAACTTTTTGAGGGTTTTTTTTAATCATTAAGAATGTTTAGAGCTTTTTTTAAGCAAGAACAATTTTTTAAGCTCTCTTCAAATAATACTTCATTTTTTGAAACTTCTGAAGCTTTCTGATGCTGAATAACACATGAATTTTTTCACACTTTTCATGTCCATTGTAAAATTTTTCAAAGCTTTTACATAATTCTTATGCTTAACATGCTCCCTTCCATCATTCTATTAAAGACTACTAATTAATTTATTCTCACTAAGGTTATAAAATTTTTATATAATAAAATTTGTTTTTTATTAATCCATTTGTTCCCAATAAAAAGAAAGAAACGTTAATAGATATTTTTATTTATATCATTAACTTTTTTTCCAACTAATTGACTTATTTTTTTTAACCATTTCCTTCACGTTATCTCGCGCACCAGCAGATAAAGAAAATTGCTCAGACGCTTGAAAGAATTTATATGAGGATGAATGATAATCCGTCGTGCAGACAAATGTAACGGTTTTACGTCGCTTTCATGAATAATCTAATTGCTCTGCCGAGAGTAGTAATAGGAATTGCAGAAGCTCTTACTTGATCAGATTTAATGACTCGATGACATAGAAGTTACGACGCTGATTAAGTTTCCCGTGAGATAATTATTGTATTACTCTAATACTCATGATGAATCAATATTCTTGTATTAAAAACAAATGTAAATAATAATTTACTTTTATTCTTTAAAGTTAAAGAAAGAAAAATAAATTCCTTTCATGAAAAGAATATTACACTATTTTTTTCTACAGATTTATCATAGTAAAAAGTCTTACAGTAAAAAGCCCAATTGTCCAGTCGACGTGCGCCATTTTACTCCATTTGTGAGACGCCGTCAAAAATGAAATAACAGAATTCAGCACAAGGTACATCGAACGACTTAAATATCACTCCAACAGACTAGCTTCAACAATATTAAATAGAGACAGCGAGAGAAATAGACTTAAAAAGAAATATAAACCACTGGACCTAACTACAAGATTCTAGAGTGATGACCGCTGGGCTATCCTCTATCAACAACACCTCAAGACACAATAATTACACCAAAATTACTCATTGTTTACAAAACAGATTGTAATTTAACCTATGAATAAAAAAAGAAAAAAAAAATTGTGAGACGATTTTCAGTGATAATAAGGGCAATTTTCAATTTTAAGACGGGAAAATATTCGTCATAATGCGTAGAAAAAACGTTCACTCCTTTTTGCCTCATGTATCTAAGCAATTTTTTTTTAATGACTAATTAATTAAATTATTTGAATTAAAAATATTATAAATTGTTTATTAAGCTTTTCTTACAAGTGATATTAAATTTTAATCAATGTTATTATTCTTAAATAATTATTAGACAGAATTATAATATTCTTTAATTCTCACATCTAAGAAAAGCTCAATAAACAATATATTATGTTTTTAATTCAAATAAATTAGTGATTAGTCATTAAAAAAAATATCAATTTGTTCAAACAGAAATGCATTGCATTATTTATTAATTGAGAAATGAAAGGATATAAAATTGCAATACCTTCCCAAGTTTTTGGGAATTTCTTACTTGTAATTAACAGGAGAGTAGATTTAAAGAAAAAAAGTAAACAAACCAAGTCAAGTATTAGGTGTTATTTTAAATTTCCAATGAATTTTCATTGGCCATTTATTTAGTGTAAATCCTGATTGATGATCAGATTCATTGGTGCTAATGCAAGTAAGCTCATTTATCGGGACGAAATAAAATTCATTCATTGAATTCCAAACCCATAAATAGTCAAATAGATAAAACGAAATTATGTAACTAAATACAATAGTCGAAGATAAATCGATTAATGTTAAACATACTTCGAAATTTTAAAGAAGAATTTTTTTTCTTCACGGTGAAGAATCAAAATAGTTATTACGGTCACTTTCTCGTAAGAAATACAGCAAAATAGTTATTACGGTCACTTTCTCGTAAGAAATACAGCATCTGTCTGAGCATACATTCAGACATTTCTGGTCTTTTTACGCAGAGTAACACACTGCTTTGTGATTTGAAAGAATAAAAAAACAAAATAATAAAAACACAATAATATTTTTGTTTATTTATTTATTTTCATTTCATTTTGTTGTCAATCAATTGTCAAATAATTCATGAATTATTATTTTTTATTTTTCGTCGTTTGTTGTTTACATAATCTCAATATCACTGTAAATAGTTGCAGTAGTATAGTAAAATAGTATGTATATACGATGTGTGATGTTGTTCACTTGCACAATATTTTTTTTTTTATTTTAATTTGTTATCAATTATTTTACTCATTCATTTGAAATTTTTTAATTCTTTTACATTCTTTTATTAATTGATATTATCATTATCATTACTTAATATCAATAATAATAATTTTTTTTTTATTTACCTTACATCTTAATTACTACTTATATTCTAAGTTAAGTAAATAATAATCGTGATAATATTAACTTTATTATTATTATAAATATAATAATTATCATATTACGTATAGTTATAATTACTTCATTATTTCCGGTAAGAGTTGGAGTATTAGATAAGAGTTATTGATTGCGGAGAGAGTGTGGATGGAAAATCAACCAATTTTAAATTGTTTCATTTATTGTTTTACTTTTTTTTTATTTACTGTAAATTAATATATCCGTTGTCTAATTCATTTAAACCACAGTGGTCCATTTTCTAAACAGTTTTCGTTTGTTTTTCTTTGGCAAATTAACTGTACAGTATTTGTACAGTACTAATACTGTATTAATATTGTATTTATTTCAGTCGAACCGTAATATGAAACCAGTACCGTATTTGTACAGTACATTGTTATACAGTATCAATACTGTATTAGTAACATATTTATAGTTATTATATAAATATCATACTAATACTGTACAACAGTAGTAAAGAAGAGACATACATACTGTAACTAGATTAATACCGTATTATTATTACTATGTCGACACCGTAATACTACAGTAAAGTTGACTTAGTACGGTAACATTACGGTAACGGTACGTATACAGCATTGATATTATGTTTGTACAAATACGGTACTGTTACTGTACATCAATGTATAACAGTAGCAAGTATTCGATGGAAAATTGTAATATTAATACTGCATTATTACAATAATGTCGATACAGTAATACGGTATGTAAGATTTATATACAGTATAAATGATGTATTGTCTAGAATCGGTACAGTACTGTACAGTTAATTGTACCAAGATTTTTAGTTAATTTTTTTGTAAAATGTAGTAAAGTAATCGGTTTAGAAATTATCGTTTAAAATTTTTTTTTTCCATCAAAATACTTTTTGTGACAATAGAAAAGTGTCTTTTAGATGTGTGGAGGTGATGAACTTTATGAGATATGATTTAGAATTGCAAAGAAAAGTTTAATTTAAAAGAACCGATTTCTTTACTTCATTTTTTTTTTTATTAACTCTATTTCACGTTTACAGGTTGATTTTCTGGTTCTTTTTTCTTATTTTATTTATATCTGTTCGATTGTTAAATTGTAATTTTTTTTTATTTATTCATTTATCCAATGAATATTATGAGAAAATAATTAAAAATGTTTCAATTTTTGAATTCAACTGATCTTTTTACCACCTCTGTGCTTCTCTTTAATTTTTTTTTTCAGCTGCTTTGCGTATATTGATGTATAGTAATACTTCTAAGTGGTTAATATCCCAGATAATTAACTTTATATTTGTCTATATGAATTCTACTGACCACAATTATTTAAGAATTGATATTGGATAATACGTTAAACATTAGGGATAGATATTTTCTTATTTGGATTGTTTTTTTTTTTTTTACTTACAAAATTAAAAATAGTGCTTTTTTTTTAATTCTTTATTTTATAATGTTCTCTACGAACAGTACATATGGAGAGAATGGCGAGTAAAGCTCAAAAAGCTACAAACGCAACATGGGGGCTGTTCAAGAGAGCTGGCAGAGACCTAAAAGGTGAAAGGATATATCTGATGGAAACAATTGTCAGAGCCATGGCGGTGTATGGGGTAGAGATATGGGGACTTGGTAAGATTGAGAGACTTCAAAAGGTGCAAAGCAGATATTGCAAGGCGATTCTCGGCGTTGCTAGGAATACGCCCAAGTATATTTGGAGAAATGAGATAGGAGTTAAAGAGATAGAATTCATACTCAAAGAACGTGCCTGTAGATATTTATGGGAAGTATTAGAAATGGACGATGACCGCTGGCCGAAGATATGTTTACTCGAAGAGGTAAGAGGTATATTAAACAACAAAGAATCAGCATGGGGAAAAGCATTTGCGGAGTTTTGCTATGAAATAGAGGATACTGAGATAATTCAAGACATAAGAAATGGAGTTGCTGCGGGTGCGATAGCAGCGCGATTTGCCTGCGGTCTTGACAAACTGGAAAGAAGGTACAAAAATAAAGAGTGGGATCTAATCCTGAGGTCCACATATAACCCCATATATGCAATTTTGAAGCCTGGTGACAATGGTGCAGTGTATTGGAACCAAAGAATAAAAAACTCTAGGTATAAAGAAATCTGGGCCAGGATCAGGTGTGGTAATGTGGGAAGAGGTGGTAAAAAAGGCTGGAGGGACTGGTCATGTAGGCTGTGTGGTTGGTGCAGTGAGACATTATGCCATTTGTTGTGCTGTAGTGAAGCCATTAGGCCACAATCAGAAAAAATAAAAAAATTTTTAATTAAATGGAAGGGAGATCAAGGCGAATTGGAGATTCAAAGTCTTATTGTAGAATTGCTCAAGGGAAACATCTGTTTTGAGCTGTGCGAGTTTGTGGAAAAAGTAGAGTGTGAGTTGTATGGAAGGCGGTGACTTAGGTTTGGAGGGAAGGGGAGCATGTAGAGAAATAAGAGTGATTTTAGATTATGGATGTAAAACTGCAACCCCCTTGCGTGCAGCATAATGTACAGTGCAAAAAAAAAAAAAAAGAAAAATTATTTTTATAATTTAAACTTAAGTTCATTTAGATATAAGTTGGTCTGTATTGAGTGTATATAGTCGAAATGTAAAAACCCAGTTGGGTATACAAGAGTAAAATATAATAATAATAAAATAATGTTCTCTACGAAATTTTTAAAAAAATTCACCAGTTGATTCATTTTTATTTAATCTTAGGAAATAAATTAAAACATAATAAAAAAACATTCATTATTGTAATAATAATTGTTAACTCATCTCCATTATGAGTTAAAAAATATTCAGCTCAGTTTAAATGACAATAGTATCTAAACAGAACTCTTTTGCTCACAAAATAAACCTACGTAAAACCTTCATCGTTTGAAATTAAACCTACATAAAGCCTTCATTGTCTGAAATGAGTCCTCTTTTGGACCTTCAGACTTTTTTTTATGTTAAAAATGGATCTAAAGTGATAATTGTTTTTTCAATTCCTTCGTTTTGTAAAGAAAAATAAATGACAATTGACTTGAATAAGAGTAAACAAAGTAATAACGCGCTAGAAGTTCTATAGCGGGTATAAAAAGGACCTAACGAGTAAATTGAGTTTCTACATGGTCCTCATATTGAAGAGGCTCAGATCGAGGACGGAAAGAGATTGATTATATCAACTACTATTTTAGAATAGAGGAAAGACTCGAAGAGTATAATTAAATTGTTCAAAAAATATTAAAAAATGAAATCAATGTATATATATATATGTATATATTTGTATTCATATAGATATAGATATTTAAAAAATATAAATAGAAAAGAAACAGTGGAAGTAATAGAAAGTAGTTGAAAAAATCGATGAAAAAAAAAGAAGAAAAATGATAGAAAAAGGAAGAAAGGATAGAGATAGAGAGAGAAAAGAGTAACTACTTATGTCAAGATAATAAATAGTCCTATCACAGTGGGTGATGAGACTCGATGTGGTCTAGAATCGAGATTTTGTTGCTTTTAACTCCAATCAGGCTTGTTTTTAATTTTTTAGTATTCATTGTTTATATATATTTTTTTTCTCTTTTTCTTTTAATCTATTTTGTTTAAACGAACACGGAGAAAATAGTCATAGCCATATTGTTAGAATTCTAGAAAACTTTACGAAAAACTCTTCCACTTATATGGATAATCGTCGAGTCAAGCAAAATTTACTAGAAATGTCTCGTCAATAAATACTCGAGGTTTACAATAAATTCTAGTAAATTTACTTATATTATTGTTACTAATTATATCACATTATTCAACAACATATGGAAGAAATTAATAATTCGGTAAAATGAGCAACAATTTATTTAAATAATTAAAAAATTATTTTTGTTAGATTTTATGAATGTTGAACACCAATTTTACGTATACACAGTTTTAAGATTGCGAAAAATGCTGATTGAGGTCTAGTAAAAAATATTCCATTGGGGAGATTCGAACCTACGACCTCTCTATCCACGCAACTGACTATAATGACGCCTTAGCCTGCTCAGCCATCCAAAACTATTGGAAATAATTAGGATTTCTTTGCATATGAAATTATCGCAGCTTGGTTATTCTAAATATGAGAAGCTCTTTTAGACTGCAAATAAAATTTTACTAAAATTCTAGTAACGTTTTCTAGAATAAGTGTACTTGATGTAGACAAGTAATAAAGCTCTGATTATTTTTCTCCGCGAGCATACGAACCTGTACACACTGTTTTTTGCAATCATAATAATTAATAGTCTCTAGGGTTTCTTTTGTATTGATTTAAAGCATGCATTAAGAATATGAGTATTTTTCAAATATTTTTTTTCTTCCAATTATCAATAGATAATTAATCTTAGAATTTTATTGGTTATGTAGATTAGTTTTTTTTTTTTTAAATAAAAACTTTAATTTTATTGAAAAGGAAAAAATAAATTTAAAATGAAATCGATTTACTTTGTATCATTTATTAAAATGATCAGCTTCTTCATTTCGCTTATAAAAAATTTATAATTAAATTGACTACTTTATGAATTAATAACAAATTAAGTAAGCTTAGATTATACTGCATTCTCATTCAATTTTGAATGAAAAGTATCTTCTCATGAGAGATCAGGTTTTTGAATCAATCTAAGCATGAAATAAAATTTATTTTGATTTTATTGTGTACGATAGATTTGATGTTAAAAAATAATAAGAGACGTAATTCAGACATAAATGTTTTTTTTTTTTTATGAAATATTTCTACACTATTAAATTTCAGTTTCCTTTCATTTATCACTACATTAAGATTATACGTATGATAATCATTTTAATCACATTCAAAGCATAGCTCATTTTATTTATCTTCATCTATTTATTGAGCTTGAGATTTATTATTCTTTTTTATTGTTTTTTTTCTTTATTTTAATTTTAAATTACTTCTTTTAATAAATCTTTATTGAGCCTCAAACGTACACTATCACTTTCTTACAAGTTCAAAGTTTTCTATTGTAGTTTATTGATATATATGTTTTTTTCTTCAACTAATTGATAGAAAATAATATTAATAATGAATTTTTTTTTCTAATTATCTATAAATAGAAATTTTTTAAAAGTTTTCAATCGAGTTATTTGTATTGCATTGCTAAATTATCAACTACTGTACAATACTGTACACTACTGACATACTGTGTTGTACTGAAATTAATTAAGTAACGAAGAAACTTAATTTAAGTTACTGATACTGTACAGTACATTTAAGTGTTGAGTAATAATTAAACACTTAAATATTGATAATGTTAAACGTCATAAACAAACTATAGTATTTTTTTAAACTCTTCGAAATGTTTAAAATTTATTTATAAAAATGCTATTATTTGTTTGTATTATTTAATATTGTTAATATCTTGAAGTTGGATTCGGATGAATTATTCTTCACTGTAGTCTGCAAGCAACCATTTCGACCTTGAAATTATACAAAATAATTAATTATTTATTTTTTAATGAATTTATGTTTAGAATTTTTGTGCATGACAAACCGTGCCGACTTTTTTTATTAGAAAAAAAAATTATTCCATGGAATTAAATTCAATTATTGTTAAACAATACGAAATTTTATTTTACGAGTAGTTTTTTGACTCAAATCTAGAATTAAGTGTTTTGTTTTTAAACACTTTTTAAATCTCTTGATTTTTCAGGTAAAAAAAAAGAATGTTTCTGTGTATGATAATTTAAAGACAAAATGACAATTGATCATAATTAAATATTTATTTATATTTCGAGTTTTTTCTTTGTAACGTATTATTTAATAATGCTGTACAGTAGTTACTGTAATACAATAATATTGTGATAATACGATAAAGAATGGGCTTTGTTGTACTATATTTATATTATGATAATAATACAAGGTAGTAGCAGTTATACAGTATTGATAAAAAGTGTATTTTATCCTCAATTTAAAGTTTTACAGACTGTTAGCAAGTGTACGTCTTAGCCCTTAGTGCATTAATTATACTGATAATTTTTCGATATTAAATCATGTTACCGAATAGGATGATATTGTTTATTGCCGAGACTGTTGTTATAATGGCGTGCAATACCTCTAAAATTTATAATATTGTTGCGTATTTTTGTTCACTTCACTTTTATTCTCGCTTCTGCTGTTCCTTTAACTTACACTCACAGTCGGTAAGGAAGAATTTTTGAGTCCACACACGATTTTATTCTGTAATTTTATAATCTATTTAGCTATTTGATAAAATAAAATTAAAATTCCACTGTACTATTCTTTTAGCATATTTTAATGCAGTATGCAAATAGCAACCATTGTACTTTTTTTTTAAACAATAGTAATACTGTTTAAATGATGCAGTGGTACAGTAGTTGTACAGTAGCAGCACAGTATAAATAACTCTTTTGAGAGAAAAAATGGATTTTCAAATTATATTCTTTGTCTATCGTTATTTTTAATTTTCCTGAAATAATTAACAAATAATAATGCTTGATAATTATTTATAATAATATCAATAAAATTTCGTGTTCATATGGTACTAGATGAAAAAAAAAATATTAACATCTTTATCTACATAAGTAGTTTTGTTTTATATATTTTTATTAGTTTCGACATCATTTTATTGATATAAAAAAGTTATTTACTTATTTTGTTGATTATCATTATCATCATCAGTATCATAAATAGTAGAGTTTTTTTCTCTTTCATTACTGGTCGATTGATAATTGCATTGAATTATTTCTTCACGGTAGAAGAGAATTTTTTTATTTTAGTACGATTCTTAAACTTTTGTTTATTCAATTGTTCACCATTTTGTGGTTGAATTTAAATAAAGAGAAGCACAGAAGTTTCTTTTCTATAAATAAGCAACATTTTGAAAGGATATTGAAATACTTTGTAATTAAAACAATTGATTTTTAAAAAAGTAAATAAATTAACCAGAAAATTATCGTAGAATAATCCAATTTTTATCCAAATGCTTGAATTAATTTAATATCTTTTTACAGAAGAATACAGAATTGAATTAATATTTTATTATAAACAATTAAAGTGATAAAATAATACATTTAAATTTCTAAATTTGTTTTATAAAATAACGATACCATAAGTAAAATGTTTTTATTTTATTTAATTATTTATATAATTATCATATAATTCAATATTTACAGGGCAATACTAAACTAATTATCTAAAGATAGAATAAAAAAATGTAGAAAAAAATAGAAAAAAAAGTTCTCCATCTTTATTTTTGGAAAGAGACGTTAAGTTTTCAATGCTTATCAATTAATGATAAATTATTAATTAATTATCAATAATTGATCATAAATAAACCCATCTTCCTCAAATTATTGTATACAAATATTATATTATTAATATTATTTATTATTTGTAGTAATAATAATTATTATCAATTATATCATATTTACATGCGGCCATATTGTTTTTTCTTACTTGTCCATACAACCATAACGAAAATAATAATTTGTGGTAAAAACAAAAATTGTAATTGTAAGTCTGTTTAGAATTCTTTGTAAACAAAAATGGCGAAAGGATGATTGCTCATTAAATGAGATATTATTGATTTAAAAGGAATTTTAATGAAGAATCGACATTCTTTTGTTTTGTTTAGTCATTCATCTAAATCCCATTGGCCTTAATTCATTAATATGATTCAAATATGAATTATTTTCAATTTTACCATAATTATTATTTTATTTATATGTATAGTATTTATATGTATGTATATATATATGTATTTATTTATATATTTATATATGTATATATAAAGTAGACAATTTTAAGGTAGACAATTGTATATATACACCTTGATTGCGTCTCCCCGAAACTTCTACTGCGCATGCGTCTGACGATAATCCATATTTCCAAGCTTTTTTTTCTCCTTTCATTACCTCTCTCTGTGTGTTTTCACGTTTTTTTTTGCATTTTTTTAATCAGGCTTCTATGCACTTGATCGTCTGGCTCTATTGATAACCATTTGGTTTGTTATCGATGTCCATCATTTGTTTAATAAATTGTTTTGTTTTTTTTTTTCCAGATCATTCAACTCCACCAATGCACTTGTGTCAGCATCATTACTACTTTTTTAAGGGTATGTCTAGATTTATTTATTTGTTCAATGGTGTCTCCACTTCACCAGAATTATTGAAATTACAAAATATCTTCAAAAATGTTTCTTTTTTTTTTTTTAATAATTATGAAGTGAGGGACATTGATGGCATAATACCTATTTTTTCATGTTTCATTGCCTTTTTTGTTCTTGTTTTTTAACCGATCACCAGTAATCAAAATGATTCCTGGCTCACGGTTCACCATTCTCACCAACAAAATACAGAGAGTTCATTTCCGTGCTCTCCACTATGCCTCCAAGCAGTGACAGCTCTTGTTTTTAACTGTAATCAAAGAGAAATTGAAAAAAATTATTATTGTTATTGAATATGTTTTTTTTTTTGGTTTTATGCTCTAAAATGAAAGTGGGTTTGTCATTGAAAAACGTGAAAGTACTGTGAGAAATATTGTAAAATATTAGTATGTCGCCATCTAATGACTATTAGACTAACGACAGTTTATTAGTTGACGACGTTTGCTTGACGATTAGATTGTTTATAACAACGAAGAGACAGTTTCTTTATCTCCAGTTTATGACTGAGACTTTAATTGGCAGGACACGTCTTCTCTTAATTTATTTATAGATGTCAATCTTAGAGTAATATTTTTAATTATTTTATTAATTTCGGAGTTATTATTTGGTTATATTTTACATTGGTGTCAGAAGTGGGATTGGGACAATATTTTACAATATGTTGAACGGAAACAAATATATTCATGTACTGATTACACTAAAAAGTTTTTAAAAAAAAATATTACTCTCTTGCATTAGTAATGCCTGATAAAATTGTTTTGATAGAAAATTTCCAATATTAACTCGAAAAAAATGGTTAAAATCATCAAATTCCATATTGTTTTAAATTAATCTTCAAAGAACTCATCTCTCTTGGAGCAAAACGGTTTAGAAACGTAACTGAATGTCTGTGGTTCGATTTGGACTGATGCCATCAGTGGATAGTTACTGATATTCAGTCAACATTGACTGATTATTTTTAAGAAAATAAAAATTACTAAGATTTCTGATCAGCGCGTGAGGTAAAAATTGTAAAAGCTTAAGAAAAGAAAATTAAGACGAAAAAATATTCTATCTGTAGGGCGTATCGTTAAAAGCACAAAGCGTCTACAGAAGTGCGATCCTACTAAAAGCCTAGTCCAACCAACCATCCTCACTATGTATAAATGTATATCCACCCTCTTTTACCACCTTCAATTCTTCTGATGTTACCCTACACCATCTTAACATTTCATATTTCACTCTTTCATTATCTCCATATATTAATACATAACACATCTTTTGGAAAACGAGCAGACGAAATTTAACGAGTTGATCTGGCCCTCTCAAAAAGGTAGACTGTTATTTCAATTTTCTAGTATCTGGGGTAAAATGGAGTAAAATTCTGTTGTAGAAAAGATACCGCACTTACTAAATTTCCCATCAACTGAGAAAGAATGATTATTATGATAATGTTAATGGTAAAAATTTCAACGTTTATTTTATAGAAATTATGTTAAAAATAACACAAATTAGTTGCATAATCTTCTAATCTATCGTTACCTATTTATTTAATATCTAACATTGAATTAAAAGAAAGAAAAAAAACCAATTCCTTAACAGTATCTTCATCTTAATTTTGCTTCATTAAATCCAAATTAATGGTCTAAGATATTCATCGTTCTATTCTGTTCATTTTATCGACTCCTTTGCTCAAATCTCTCGGAGTCTTTATCCTTCCACTGCTGCTCGAACCCTTTTCCAGATGCTCAACTAAGGTCGACCAATTGGAAGAGTGAGTTAGTGAAAGACTCAGTGGTAAGATCTGACAAGGGAAAGAAAAAGAGAGTACCTTTATGTTAATGAATAGAAACGTGGATGGTAATGGCACTTTCAATTGCTCACGGTTTTCTTACGTGTTTCTGTACAATCTGTCGCTACTTCTATTACGTCACTCAGAATAGATTTAATTATTTATAGTAAGCTACAACGCAGGTAAGACCTTACTCATACCCCACCATTAAATTTTCACAAATTTCCACAAATATTCAATTGGTACTGACAATTATAAATTATTATCGAATATACTGGAATGCTATTCGGTCATTATATTTTTTTTTTATCAAAGCAGACCAATATTAAAGAAGATGAAATATTTAAAGCCCAAGACTAAATTTAAAGTTCAGTTTCAACTTCAAATACTGTAAATCCTAAAATGCTTTATTTTAATGCGGATAAGTGTCTTAAATATGACGTCATCCATCTGATTAACATTGTAGTCACTTTTAACGCAGATCTAAGTGTGTAAAAAATGACTACAATGTTAATCAAATTGGTGACGTTATATTTAACACACTTATCCGCATTAAAATAAAGCATTTTGGAAAACTGGGATTTACAGTGAAATCTTTCATTTCTTTAATGTTCCAATTGCCGCCTATAATTGAATTTCGTTTTGGAAATCATCAACTTAATTGAAGATTTTAATGTCTTAAACTGATAGTCCAGTCAATGTGCATTTTAAATACGAAATTCCATGGCATAACTTTAAGGAATATTTTAGTCGCCTCACTTTTTTTAAATTCAATTTTATTTTTGAGGTATTTCATCTCAAAAAGTTAAAACAATCATTTACCGTGGCAGCCATTTTCGTAGGTTATCACGCCAATTTATCGGTATTACAGTTTTCTAATTGATCAATTCATAAATTTGAATTATGTCTCGAAAGATCATTGAAGGATAACTCGAAAAAAAATATACCGCTTTAATATAATATCTGTAAAAATTTTTTATTCTTATAAAGTATTGAAACAGCTATGGATAAATACGTGTATTGTTTATCAACATTATTTACGTGGTAGTTGATGAAGCAGCAAACTCGGTAAATCAGAAGCATGTTCCGGCGTGCCTCAAACGATATCTCGGTACTTCCGGGCAAGCGGTGTACGTTCACTCTCCGTCATCTCCGTTTCCGTTCTTTTTGTCCGACCAACCATAAATATATATATTCTTTTTTTTTTTTTATATTATTCAAACTCTTGTTTCGCAACTCAGCAAATAATAACATTTATTTTTCTAAAAAAGAAATTGATTTAATGAATTCCAAAAAGTGTCCAAAATGGCAAAAGGAGAAAAAGGAGAAGCCTAAATTTATAAAATTAAAATAATTGCTGAATAAAATAATACTATAGTAGAGGTTAGATCACGGAGTAAAATTGTATAGTAGAGAAAGTACGCAGTAGTATTACGTAGTCGTAGTAGTAGTAGTAGTAGTAGTAGCAGTAGTACGGCAGCTTGCTATAAGACTAGTTGAGACCATACATAACATATATACTCGCGTAATAACACGAAGCCTTTCCCTCAGTCTTCTCCTCTACCTTCAAGGCAATTTCCCCCTCTCGAAGGAATAATCCTGGCACGAGTGTCAAAGGATCTGACAAGGAGTCGCCGGTGTAACGGCATGATGACGCCAATGGCGTCTGTTGCATAGTACAACCGTCTGGCCTGCTATCTATCTAAACCACTGGTTTTAGAGTGCGTGTGAAGGGTAAATGGGGAGGGGTGGATCAGAAAGAAGTGAGGTGCGGGCAGGAGGGCAGAGGTGCAGTGATAGAGGCGGGAGATTGAAGAGGAGGTGGAGAGAGGTACAGGAAGCTTTGGGACAGTTTATATAATGCAAGATGGCCGCCAGAGGGCGTGGCCTTGGTGAGCTTGCGAGGTGAAGAGGAGGGGGGGGTTCACGATCATTCAGGGGAAATAACGTGCGGGGATGCGACGAGTCTGCTTGTGCTAAATGTAGGCTGAGGGGTACAGGACGTATCTACTACGGATACTACGGTAGCGTACTATGAGTTGTACTCCAGACCTGACGACATACACTCTCTCTTTCGCGCAACTAGTTCGTTCTCTATCTCGTAGATTCACTATACTACGCTCCTGCTTCTAACAATTTGCTTCCTCATGCCTTCTTCCTCTTTGCCCTTTAAGGATTGCTAGTGAAAAATTGGAATATCCTTGATGTTGCTTTCTCGTTTGCGGTGGCTTTGAGAAATTGCATTTTGGTGGGGGGGTTTAATGGTCTGTGTTGGAAATTTAGGCTAAGGATATTTGTTATTATGAATAAATAAACTAATTTGAATTATATTTCAACTTCCTTTATTGAGTTAAATCAAGATTCAAAAAGTATGTCCTAACAGACTGAAAGACTTTTATATAACTGTGAGAATATTTATTGTGATGTATTATAAACTAAAGTAATGATTGAATTTGATTATAAACTCCAACAGTCTGAATCAATGATGACATAAAAAAAAGGATACATAATTTATGTTTTGTAAATAAATAAGGAGTGATTAGAATTAATTATATTCTTGCTAGGAATGGATTTTGTTTTTTTTTTTTTTAATTTTTGTCATTGGAAATCAGAGTTTTAATGTAAATTTTTTTGAGAATTAAAATACTGAAAGTTTGTGTGAAGAGTATTGATAATTAATGATCAGTTAAAAATATCCTTTGAGACGATGAGATGTAAAAATTATAAGAAGCAAAATTGATTGACAAAAATATTCGCAGAATATTTCGTGAAAACCGGTTTTATCATTGAAAAAAAGAATTTAGTTTTAAAATTACGAGAGAAAATTATCTAAACTAAATGAATATTGTTCAAATAAAATAAGATATAATATTGATTAAATAAAGTAATATATATTTTTAATTTAAATAAATTCAGTTAAAAATAGTAAACTAAAATAATATTTTCGGTAAAGTATTTTTTAATAACGTTAATTATTCTTATTTAAAATACTGTATTGATTAAAAAATAGCCGAAATTGAAACCATTTCCGGTATTTAATATTAATAAATTGTGCTTCTTTTAAATAAATACAATGAGATTAATGTAAATCAATAACGATTTACTGATATTCAATGTAAAAAATATCGTTAATTTTATTAATCCACTGCAAATCCGGGAAAATTCAAATGTTTAGTAATAAAACGCTCAAAGTGTTTAATAATTTAACACCTAAATGTTTACAATGTTAAACGCCATAAAAAAATTATAGCATTTTTGTAAACAGCAAGAAGTGATTAAAATTCGTGTACAAAAGTACTATAGTTTGTTTATGAGGTTTAACATTTGTAATTACTTTAAATGTTTAGTTTCTAAACACTTAGATTTATAGTGTGATTATTTCGGCTCTGGACAACAATTGATAAATATTTTTTTTTAAATAAATTATTAAAAATTTCACTGAAAATAAGTCATTCGCATTTAGTGTTGAAGAATAATTA